CACCCTATAAATTTACCAGCGAAGCAGCCGTTTCGAGGCTGAGCCCGCCAAGCGAAACTCGAATCAGGGCGAATCAGGGTGCATTTGCATTTAATCCTCGGGGCTCAAGCGAAAATACTCACACCGAGCTACTTCCCATCCAGCACTGACTCTGTTAGCTGCACGCTAGAGCTACAACGACACAAGGACGGCGTCGTTAGCGCCCAGAGAGTTCCGTGAGGCCCGGATGGCTAAAATCCCCCAGGTGTTGCCCCGCCTCGGGGTGGAAATGCTTCTTTGCCCCCACGGGAGCGAGGCAATGGGCGGACGGCCTCGCCAAGCCGGCCGCGATGCCCGCGCGGAGATGCAGCAGCGACAGCAAGGGATAACAAACGTCTTTCCGCAGCAGCACCGACGCCGTGTTTTGGCGTCGCGGAACCAGATGCTGCCCCAGGGGGGTGGGTACGTACCCTCTCTTCCTCGCCATGTAGCCGCACCACCCGCGGACCTCTTTGACCACCACGCGAGCGAGGAGCTGCGGGAGGAAGAAGTCGGAGGATTGCGTGAGCGTCTCCGCGCGACAAATTTTAAGGCTCTTCCTAGGGAAGGAGCGGCTGAAACCCCACGTGGAGGAGGTCGTTGGGAAAAACCAAGTGCAGGGAGGGAAAGGTTGGGATTTGCAGTTTGCCCCGGGTCTGGCTGTCTCCCACGGACCGTCCCTGTGTGATTCTATGAAAAGGGAGACCTTGAATATCCAGGGTAGCGAAACGAGTCCCGCCAAGGAGGCACCTACCAGGCAAGCCAAGACGTCAGCTGCTATCAGCATGTAGAAGACGTTATTCCAGCCCGTGGGGGAGATGAGCCCTGCGAGCAGCGGCCCGAGCGCAGCACCTGCGAGGGCACGAACGGCGTTAGGAGACGCTCTGTTCATGAGGAAGAGGAGACCAGGACATCCCCAGCCCCACAGCATCGGCAGGGAAATGTGCACTCGGCATCTCCCAGCCGCACGGACCTACGGATCCCGTGCCGTCGATGATGGCTGTGACAGTCGAAAGGGCTTTGGCATTTCCTTTGAGAGACTCGTGCGTTCCCTGGAGGGACAGAGGAGCAAAATGTAAAGAGGAAAAGCAGTGTTGGGCGTGCGAGGGCAGCGCGGTGGGGGCTGAGGCGCCACCTCTTACCAAATCTGCCGAAACCGCTGTGGTGATGAGAGCGTAGGGCCCGTTAACCAGAGCGCCGCAGACAATCAGCATCGCTGCACGGAACGAGACGGGCGCCGAGGTCCCCGGAAAGAGATTAAATCTTTTGAGCGCAGGGAGTAGCGAGACGGTGGTCCCGTTGTGCGGC